GGCTCCCCGGCCCCGCCTCCGCCTCCCCTCCCCTGCAGCTTCCCGCCAGCGGGCGCGGGAAGGGGAAGCCTTTCCCTCCTCCACTGCCAAAGGGGAAAAACGTGGGAATTGTTCATTTTTCCGACCCCCAGGCGGGGCAGGTGACTTGTTTTCCCCTCCCCTCTCTTTTCTCTGTGAAGGAGGTTTCTTCAGCTTTCCCCCTCTTTCAGAGAAGGCTTTTAACCACAACTAGCCCTCAGCAAGAATACTCGTGTCTACCCAACTGCGTAGAAGTAAATAGATGAAATATTTTACGTTTTCATTATTTCAGGAGTCCTTTAAAAAGCTGTTACACGTGAACCTACCACCTAAAAAAGTACGCAAGCCTGTTGGCAAGACCAAACCACCTATATTGTACCAAAGTGTAAAAATGACTGCAATCATCATATAAACCTCTTTCTTCTTACACATACAAACAGCAGTTCTTAAAATACAGGTGCTTATCAGTACCTAATACTGGGCCGTGAGAGAATGGGATGAAGTACTATTTCACACCACGAAGCCATCCTAATACACATGCAGGTAGATAGTAACCTGAAATTAAGCTGTGTGCAACATATGCTAACAGCAGGAACCTGAAACCAGCATAGATCACAAGCTATATCAAATGTATATATTTTTTTATTTTGTTACTTCCTCTGCCACCTAAAATTACAGTCTGCTTTTTTACACTAAAACACCTAAAATATTTACAACCATCTTCTAATAAAATAACAGTTAAATACTGAAAATAAGATTTCTCATAAAATATGTTTTTTATATGTACATGTTTTATCAAAGAGGACTAAGTTCAATAGTGAACAGTTTTCCAGCATCAACCATCAGCAAGAAAACAAGTTTTCTGAAATAAAACTATATCAAACTTATGTACAAATAGGCAGAACAGCATCTGTTTAACATCAGCCAATGCAACACTTCAGTCACTGAGGCCTAAATCGTGTACTGCTTAAGAAATGTGCATTTTTTTTTTCTTTATGAATACCTTCTTTGGTTATTGTTCTATTATCTTCTTGGATGTACAATAAAACAACACCCAATTAACATTACAGAACCAGGCATATATATGTGTATATATATTTATATATACTAGGTTCAATTGTTGAAAGAGAAGTTCCACTGTAGATTCTTTAATATAGAGCTGCTCTTCAGAATCAAGCCCACAAGTTTCTACTATATTTCACTCTGTTCCTCAAGCAGAACTCTCACTGACATCTGTCATCACTTTGCTTAAACACTGTTTTTTCCCCACCATTAGCAGGGGACTCTGAAAACATGTTTCCATTTTCTAGCATATCAGCCTTTCTCAGAAAGATCCTTGGAAGTTCAAAGTGATAAAAGTTGGGAAGAGAAAGAGTGAACTCTGCCAGGTTGTTTCTAACACTGGTTCTTAAAAGCCAACACAAATTACCACTTGCAAGAGCCTCCCCATTGCAAACCATCAAGACTTGCACAACCTAGAAAGTTTATTACCAGTGGATCTGTTTGGCAGCATGCAGCTGAATGCCCAGGCTGCTCGAGCTGGGTTACATGGCCCCTGTAAATAACGTCACAACACGGACAAGAACTGCTGGGTGGGGAACCTGCTGCCTGGAAGTTCAGGATGGAAATTGGCTGCTGCTGGGTCTCCTGGAACTCACCGGCACAGGAATTGAGAACATCATCCCTCCTGGAGCAGAGGGAGTGAAGTTCCACCTGCTTTTCAAAACCAACTAAGAAAACCTCCTGAACAACCCTTAGAAACTGTCACAAACCCTGTACTGAGGAACTTCGCTAACCAGAAACTGAGAAGTGATTTCCATTCTCCTGAAGGGTTGTTCTTGAACATCAGAACATTCAGCCTTAAGTAGAAACTTCAGGTCATTTGGCTTCATGTATTTGGCTTTAACAGAGAAGGCACCTCTCTGTCAATGAGTCCCACTGGTTTTGAACTTGTGTGGTCTGGTACCACTATACAGAACTGCTGTGATTTACCCTCATTTTGCATAGTTATACAAGGAAGAAAGACAGTAGAAAATAAGAACACCACCTCTCAGGTTCTGCTTTAGGTGTTAGGAATGTGGCAAAAAAAACCCAAAAACAAAACAATAAAACAAAATCCAACTCATAAAAAAACCAAACCAAAACAAAAAACAACCACAAAACAACCCTGAAATCTGGAAGATCTGAAATCAGTCTTATAAAATATTTTATAAAGTTATCAATAGTCTTCTACTGTGCAAAATTCACAAGAAAATCAGTGCTGCTACCTGTGAAAGGTCTAAAAATCAGTATTCATGGTCTGTCATTAAAGGTCCACTCACCCTAACTCTCATTCTTCCTCAGTTCTTTAATTCTCCAAGATACAATTCTTTTGAGATCCTATTTAGTTAGAGTATTAAATCTAAACTTACATAAATTGTGCTAAGACATCCAGCACTTAGATCTGAACCTAAGGGAAAAGAAATGGTAATTAAAGAGCAACATCAACTCACCTTTGCAGTATGTTTTACTAAATAAACAACATTTGGATTTGATGTAATGAGGAGGACTGAAAATGGCACAAGAGTAATATTTCATGCCTACAGGTAATGACTAACATGCTGAAGGCATATATTCCATCACCCTCTTCCCCAGGCAAGAATGTCTCCCTGCATTTGCCTGGTGAGAGAGCAAGCTCCTGCACTGCTCAAGTGGACACCCTCCTAAACCCACTGAGATGGCTGTTCAAACAGTGTGATTTATTGTCACAGCAAAATATATTTCCAGTGCAATGTGATTACCAAGGCAGCGTTCCCGATTCACATCGGATGATGTGAACCACAGTACAATCATCTTCTTTCTTCAACCCTTGAATTAGGTCATTTTAACATCAGCAGATCAAAACCTTGTTAAAACGGAAGCTCTAAAATGTACAGTGTAACCAATGCTTTTACAAACTGCCTAACATGTACACATTAAGGCAAGACAGAACTGAAAAAGTACTGCTATACTACAGATGATACAGTCACTGCTGTAATTATTTCACAGTTAAATCAGATTTTTTTTTTCCCCCTCCACCTCCCTTAAAATGACAGCACAAAGACAAAGAATGTAATCACCTCCTTAACAGAGATGACAAGTCTCTAGAAGATGCTGGAAGTGATCCAGTATAGGCAAAAAACCCCAACCCAGCATTCCACCAGAAGCGTGTGAGGATCATTTTTATGATTAAGTTAAAAATGAAACTTGGAAAAGTTAAAGACTAAAGATCCTACTGGGATTGTCTGGAGAGAAGTCATAGCAAAACCATGAACTTCTGTAATTAGTAGCCTTGGAAGTTATCAGCAAAAAGAGCTCAGATAAAAACACCTTGTAAGAATATTTGTACCAATTATTTATTTTTCCCCCCAAAACACAAATTAATAAAAAAAAAGGGAAAAAAAGCAGATTCTTTTTCTTCTAGACCTGGATAAAGGAATTATAATTTTCAACAGGTAGTTTACAATCAGTGGGGAATAGCAGTCCAGGTTTCCTGACTGATCCATTCAAGGTGTGCTCAGTAGCCATCTTTATCAAACAACTTTATTTACAACTCAGCATCATCCTGCAGTAGATCTGCATCTTCATCATCCAGCAAAAGGTCAGCATCCATAACTTCATTCTCTTCCATGACATCACCCAGCTCCTGAACAACATCGTCGTCAATGTCACCGACACCTTCAACATGTTTAACCAAACTCATGTGATCCAGAGGGATCAAACTATGCCCAACGGGCCTAGTAGTTCTTGCAATTGTGGCTGCAATTTCTGCTGCCACAGCAGCTTTCTGAGCTTTCTGCCTTTGCTGTTCTTCTTGTTGTCTGTGAGTCTTCATATGAGCATTGCGGCTTTTTATTTTGAAAAATACCCTAAATTTTAAAGGGGGAAAAAAAAAAAAATCAGATTAAAATGCATTGCTTTTGATGAAGTGAGCCAAAAAAGACTCAACAGCCTATCAGTACATTTGCTTCCCTGCCTTGAAATAGAAGTCAGTGAAGTCTGCAATACCATGGTGAGAATTTCAGGGACAGACTACTAGATTTATACATCCTGACAGGATCAAAACGGCCTCTTCCAACTCTGCAGGAGGTACTTTGTAGCCCTCACAGCTGCTTCTGTACCTCTGCGCATCCTAATTCTCCCTTAGTTTCACTACAATTTTGCACAACAGCAAAGAAGTTAAAGAATCCCACATGAGGATGGACAAACTCAAGCCCAGAAACACAGAGAAAGTTGTCCACTGTCACATGCAGGTCTGCGATGCAGCAGGAAGCCAGACTGTCAGATGTAGGAATTCTAGCAAGTAAATGGATTCAGGAAAACTGGAGTTAATGCTGCAGGGGAAGCATCCAGAACATCATGCAAACCAATATCTGAAAGTTTTTCTAAGAGGATGTGTCATCTAATGGGAAACTGTCCTTTTGAGACCATCAGAGCAAAACAGTTTGTCGCAACACTATTCCTTTGGGCTATAAACAGGGAAATGTGATGCTGTGCTGCAGGCAGTCACGTTCACTTACCTGCCACACTCCTTGCAAGGAAAAATGGTTGTTGGGTCGGTCTCACCGCTGGTGGTGCTGTGGGCAGGTGAGCTCTTGATGGAGCAGTACCCGCTCTGCGTCCCCGATTTCTGCTTGGTGCCCGGGCCGGTGCAGCGCGGCTTGGTCACCTGGTTCGTACCCCCGTGGATGCGAGCGTGGCCATTGAGTGCCTGTCGGGAGCTGAACACCTGGCAGGGAACAGGGGGGGAGGAAGGAAAAGATATAAAATCCAAGAAATACTGTACTGGAACAGGAGCTTCAAAAAGAAGTACGCTGACTGCATATTACAAAGGAGCAACCATACGCATCCTACACACACAAGCTACTTGGTCAAATGCTGCTTGCTCTCAGCTATATCCCACTTCCAGTTCAAGAAGCTGAAGTCATCGTAAAACAAACCAGTGAGTTATCCTGTTATTACAGTTCTACAACAGGAAGGTAATCAGAGCTGTTACCACATGGCATTTCTAATTGTTACAGCACCTCAGGGTTTAATTGTACGTACAGATCAGCATATTGCCTGTACTTCGTGAGGTGGGAATGAAAAGCGGGCAAAATGATTTATCCAAAAATAGTCAAGAGGTGTCACTGGCCAAGAACAGTCTAAACCCTGGATTTCCAAAATCACAGCTCTGCAGTGTACCACCCCCTCTGCTACTCCAGATACCAATGCACATACAGCGCCGCAGTTCGGCATTTCGCAGATGAAGGAGGATGAAGAAAGTGAAAGGCTCTGAAAGGCAGGCAGATCTATAGGTCCAACAAGAGGGATAGCTGGTGGGTCAGGAGACTTCTGCATGTCCCTTTCTTCCTTCCTGTCTTCTTCCATCTCCTCATCTTCCTCTAACGCTTCTTCTTCTCCACTTGTCTGAAACAGTGCATTTAAGGAATACTGTCAAAGACAGAGTACTGGATGGTAGCACACAGAGTCCTAGAACAGCACACGGATTGATCCAGACTGGTTTCTGTATTTTTTTTCCCCATCCCACTTCACTGCGATGCTCAAAACACCTGTATTAGAAAGCTGCAGCTCCTAGAGTCTACAGATGCCAAGGTACAATACACTCTCTCAGCTATTAGAATAACAAAGTATGCTGTGTTGGCAGTCAAATTAAATGACTTATTAAAATAAACAGCCAAACAAAAAACAAGAAAAAAAACAACCCACATCTCTTAACACTACTCAGACAACCAGTAATACAGACTTTTGCATAAAAAGAATTGCATTGCCAGTCTGTGTAAATAGTATTTGTACTAGAATATTAGAGCAGCCTTCAGGAGCACACACAGGCAGAGGTGTAGGAATAATTTACAAAGTTTTACCTGCTTCATCTAGGGCAAAAAGCCATAATTGCTGGACTAGAGTTAGATAATACAATAGTCAAAACTCTTATGCCATTACTGTCCAGGAACACAATTTTGGTGTAGCTGACGTCACAGAATACTCATGCAGAACATAATTCAGAATTACAGAATAATTTTGGCTGGAAGAGAGCTATGCCATCTAGTTCAACCTCCACAAAAAGGGATGAACATGAAAATTACGAAGTGCTAAACTTTCTAATATTGTTTTAGACTTACCAGGCACTCCTCTCTTTTCTTCTCTAGACGTGTTCTGTGTTTCCGTCCCAAACGCAAGATTTTCTTCCAGGTATAGTAGTATTCCACACACTGTGCAACCGTCTTAGACTTAACCTGTAGTTAAGAAATTGCAGAAATAGTTCAATTTTTCCAGTTACATTCAACACAACTTTAATATATTCCAAGATGCAGACTTTATTTCTCAAAGATTCAAATGGAGAGGAAAAAAAAGTTTGACTACAACAGGAATAGTCTTGTAGGATAATTTTTTTAGTTAATGTTTTCCAGTCAAACTTGTGTGGACTATTTCAGCTTCTGCACATTTCTCTGGGATTCTCAAGTCAGAAAATGACTAAGTATACTTTTGTACCTCAAGTGTATGACACCACTGAGAAATCGAGGAATTAAGACTTGGTTCCCATAAAGCCAAATGTTTGTCAAAATCTGAGCTAACAAGAAAGGTATTCTGCCCTGAGATTTACACACCTTGTCTTTTCTGCTTTGTGGCAGAACATGAAAATTAAGCCCAAACACATTCTCTCTTTACTAACAAGTTTCAACCCTTTCTAGCACAAGGCTCAGTGCCAGTGACTTGGGTACCTTTTAGCAAATTGTCAGAAAAAACCAAGGTGACAGAGGAGCACCATACTTGTCCCACATGTGGAATGCCATGTCTTTGATTCCAGGTGTGAAAACTACTACATATACAAGAGGAACAGATTTTATGTGGTGGGGTTCTTTTTTTTTTTGCACTAGTGCTGCAGTTGTTTAAGTAGCTACAGCAAATGGAATATATCCCTACTATCAAGTGTTCCCATAACTAACCACTGCTGGCTCTACCCCTGCAACAGTTTGGTCTGGCACTGGAGGGAAAATGAAGGGGAAAGGCATACAGCAAATGAAAAGCACAACGGACAGAACAGAAATAACCTTACCATTTTCTGTACAAATATGAAGTCTTTGCTGTAGGTGGACAGTGCCTCTTTGAACAGCCTCCTCTCTTGATGCGTCCATTTGTCAGAGCCTTAAAAGAAGGGACTTTATTATAAATAATAACCCACCACCACCTCTATGCTTATGTAGTACCTGAAACAAAACCAGGGAAACCTGAAGCACACGCTAGTGGTTGCTGCTACCCAGATACAAGTGTGGCTGTAATGACTGGGACCCCACATCCCTTTAACCAGCATTTGGACTCTAGCCGTGGTCACAGGCTGCTGCCTAGGAAACAGTAAGATCAGGGCAAGCAAATACAATGCCTGTCCCTAATTTCTCCTAACCTCTGACCATTTTCAGAACAGCCCACTTCCCAAGTCCATTGTACTTGCTTACTTAGTAGCTATCCTTTTAAGTGCTGACCCACTCTTCCTTTCAACTAATCTTCTTGCACAGAAAACATCCTTTTATTTGTACTTGCTTACTTAGTAGCTATCCTGACCCACTCTTCCTTTCAACTAATTAATCTTCTTGCACACAAAACATCCTTTTAGAGTTTCATAGAGTTTCATAGATCAGTAGATCTTCCAGGTGAAGAACCACCTCCTTTTCTTTCTTTTCTGGCTCCCAGTAACTTCACTGGATAACCACTTGTTCTTCAAGTGGAAGAGAAAGCTAGCCCAATCTCAACCATCATCTCCATGCTACTCAGGATTGCATGTCCCTTCTGTCACTCCCTCACCTTTGGTCATTATTGCTATCCCTCTCTGAGCTTTTTTCTGTACCAAAACATTCATGATGGGACCAGAAAGACACATAAGAGTCAGCATATAAGCAACCTATAGACTTGCACAGTGGCAATACCATGTTCTCTATCCTTTTACTATTTGACTTGTTAGGGTTTTTTTTTAAGCTGTTGTAAAACACAGAGCTGATGCTCTCATGGAAGCAGCATTATAAACCCAAGGTCTCATTCCAATTCAGAACCACCACCACAGAGCTTGTCATTTTATACATAATGCTTGTATTGCTTATTCCCATATATGCCACTATACAGAAGTTATCTATCATCTTGTTCTCCATACAATAAGTCTCATCAGGTCCTTCTGCAGCTCTTCACTTGCATGGCTTGAGGTAGGGTACTTAAATCCTCCCCCGTGGCAGAGGTCACAAGTAGACAGACTGTAGAAACAGGCAACCCACACCAAGTGCTTTATCTTGTTCTCCATACAATAAGTCTCATCAGGTCCTTCTGCAGCTCTTCACTTGCATGGCTTGAGGCAGGGTACTTAAATCCTCCCCCATGGCAGAGGTCACAAGTAGACAGATTGTGGATTGCCTGTTTCTACACAAAGTGCTTTCTGATCATGTAATGGATGCTGTATATAAAACTTTCAAATATTGTTATTCTGTGTTTGCTTCACCAGCCTAACTGCCCATGAAAATGTGAAATCAACATTTAAATTGAAATGAGCTTGTGCTTCCTCAGTATTAGTCAAACAGAAGGAACTGAGGCTTGCTCTGCTGCATCAAAGCAGTGCCCTGTTTTTTGTAAGAGTGGGCGGCATTTCATACATTCAGGGAAGGATATGCAAGAAGCCACAAAGCAGATGCCTTTGAAATGACTTGCACTATTAGAAGATTCCACTTTGGTCTGAGTTTCCAAAACATCTAAAGATTTTATCAAAAGAAATCTCCAATGTTCCTGTCAACATTACCATTCACCATACAAATGCTTGTCTCTGCACCGAATTCAGTCAGCTTGGGCTTGGCACATGCATGGTATTGAACTCTACAGTTACTTGTGACTATTAAAAATACACAGTTTTTTTTATTAACTGCAAATGTTTTGGGTTTCAGTGTTAACTCCCAGGCTCAGAAGCTTAGAGCAGGTATCTCACTGCTCCTTCATATACTGAAAACTATGAAATCAACTTTTCTGCAACCTGTTTTCTGCAGGCTTTTCCAGTTCTGGGTACAGGCATGCATTAGTTATTTCCACAGAGATTTACACTAATGCTCCCAAGCATCAGAGAAAGGCACTGGCTTGAAGTCATGAGTATTATTCACTCTGTTATCACCCAGATAGCTTTTTGCTGACACACAGCCTTGCCATCTTTCCCACCCTGACCCAGCATCACTCGCTCTTTACACGATTTGCCAGCCATTTGTGTTTACCCTCCCCTTGGGTAGAGCAGATGCACTGACTCAGTCCAGGGCCTGCTCTACTGTGCCAAAACGTAACTTTAGAAAGCATGACACCAAAGCAGAGATATTAGTTTCTGGCAAACCTCTCTAGTCATGCTCTCCTTCATACCCCACCCCCTTGAAAAGAAAGTAATAAAACCAACAATAAATCACTTCCATGAACTGATTTTATTGTACACCTATGGAGGATTCAGGCATTACAGAGTTTCCCCAATAGCTGTGGTATTAACGAAGACCCTTATAAGATTATGCAGGTTAACTGGAAGTAACCTAATTAATAGAATAAATCCTGTGTAGGAAAAGAAACAGAAGAAAAGCTGTTTTTAACTCTGGTTGCTGGGAAACTGCTTTTGCTAGCTTGAGGGAGATATAGAGAATGTGTATAGAAATATCTGCAATGCAGCAAGAATGAATTTTGGACTTTGGAACACAGATAAAATTTTGAAGCTGATCTTTCTGTTTAGACATTTATTCTACATTATGTTTTACCTGCCCCACCACCCCCTTTTTCTTTTTCTACTGGTTAACTGACAATAAACATGTTCTAGCAGTCTAGGGGCTTTGGGCCCAACCTGTGGGTTTCAAGGGGGCTACACCTACACCCAGGCAGCCTCCCTGAGTGGTGGCTCAAACCCATTACAGAGCACACACTGGGTCTGATCCACACCCTACCACAGCACATACAGGAAGTTTCCAGACTGCCTGAATCACAGCATTTCAAAGACCACCTCTCCTGCATTTCTCACCACAGAAGAAATTCAGACCCGAAAAATTCCACTGCTCAAATGCAAACAGTTCAACAGTTTGCAACAGTGCTCCTCTTGTATTAGATATGCACTCCCTCTCTCTTCCCCAAAACACCATCCTGACAGCTGGCGAAGCATTAGGACAGAGATTAGGGTGTTCTCCAAGCAGCCCTGGGTCAGCATGCCCAGCTCTCTGGGCACACAACAGCAAAACCCTAATTTTTACAACTTCCTTCCTTCACAAGCCAACAGGTTTCACAGGTTACCTATTTGCTTGCACCCTCGTTTGAGGACAATGCTAAGGATGAGTTTGGATTTTTATTGTTTGTGGTATCAGTAAATTCTCATGAGTAAGGGCCAGACTGCTCTGCTTCAAGTCTATTCCACCTTTAAATGTGGTGGTGCCTGAAAGCTGCTCCTGAGTATGGGAGCAGAAAGTCCAAGAAATAAACCAAACAAATACCACTTGAAACTACATGAGGATGTTATGTTATATATGTTCAATAGTTATGTACTAGATTGTGAGAAATTCCCACATGTCTCAAGTGGCTGAGTATCAACCACAAAAACTATTACTCAAGAGGTGCTGCATGGTGCTAGAGTGTAGCTGTCAATATACATTGCCATCACATGTTGCCTTCAAGAGCATTAGTAAGTAATGCTTTGTCTTGTTATTTTATGGTACATAAATCCAGGCTACTGAGATTTTGTTTCATGATGTGATAAGCAGATCCAAACATCCTGTCCTGCTTAAGAAATAAGGATACACTGATGTCCACAGGTCTCAGTGCTAGTTAATGAGGATTAGGGCCATCTCATGTGAAATCTTTCACAAAACAGTCTCTCCTGGCTCCTCCTTGGACCAGAATAAAATAGTTTCTGAAACTACTGTGAAGCTGCTTCCATGAAGACCGTTTATCCTCCCCTGCTACACAGGCATAAACTTATTATTTGCTCTGTTAATCAGATCACTCACTAAGGATGAAGCTGCTGGGATACTTCATAGTCCTGCTCTCATGCCCTGGCCATGTCTCACACATGATCTGGTGTCACCTCTTCAGACAAGAGACCTTGGTCAAAGTTCCTGGCTGATATCCTCCTTCATCCACCTCCACGTCCACCCTCTGGACTGCACAAGGAATCCTCCCCCAGACAAAACCCAACCCCCACCTCCACAGTTACTCGCTCTTCTTCTCAGCTGCCATCAAACACAGTTCAGTTTTTCTCCTCAAGCCAAGGGGTTCAGGATTTGCTTTACAAAAGAGTCCTTTTCACTTGGGAGTCTTTCCAGTAAGTTGCTACAGCCAGAAAGCAGCTTCCTTCTATGCTAATCTTGCACAATGGCTGTAACTGGAAAGAAGTATATGACCCTGGACACTGTGATTGACTAACCACCAGGAGACTCTTGGCTTCTTTCCTAAACTGGAGATAAAGTCTGAAATCTCTTACATAAAACCCTGTTCTGTGTGTCCAAGCAGTTACTGGCCACTACAAAGCATTGAGCAGTAACATGGAGGGCTGCAGAGGAGAGACACATGCCACCTGGGCTTAGGTGACATAACTTAAGTCCAATGGCTTAACACCACCTTAAATACACCTTATGTCTTTCACAGGGTACTTGTGCTTCATCACCAAAACGCAGTTCTTGCTGCATTTGTTAAAGAATTCACCATCCCAGACCTGTTTCTTTTTGGCTAGATCCACACAGAGAGAGGCTCTGCATTCAGGACTAAGGCACTAGTGAATTACAGCACTGCCTCTCTGGAAGGATGCTCACGATTATCACATTCATTTATCATGCACCATCACCTCAGAGAAGGCAGGCATGACAGCAGACGTCTACACCAGAAAATGCAGGCATTACTTCTAGTAAATTATAATCTATGAATAGCAGCAGTTTTAAAGGAGATTAAATTTTAGCTTAAAAGAGGAAAAAAATATTATTCAAGGCAGGTTTAAATCTGTAGAACACGACATGGCAACATGGATGCAAAGCTTCTGTACATGGTCAGTCAGGTAAAAAACTGCCCAGCTTGTAACAAAAGGCTTGGGAAGTACCACTCATCACTGTCCTCATCACCTCTCTTAGATGCTGCTGTGTGATCCCATGGTCCAGCTTGGGACACAAGCCTTGGACTCTTAACTACCAGCAGAGAGAGAGTCTGCAAGGAAACCTACCAGCGTAGTGGTAATTTGCCAAAGGATGACACTTCAACCTCACTGGCTTTCTCAACAGCAGCTTCTCAAGAGCAACCTAAATGAGAAAGCAGGGGAAAAAAAAAGCAGAATTAGCAAATGCAGTCAGCTGCTCCACACAGCTACATTTAAAAGACTATTTGGTATGAGCATATGAATTAATTTTCTCTCTATTTCATTTCTGTCATCTGAAATCACATCAAATTACTCCAAGGCCCATTAGCACTAACTCACAGAAGAGCACCTAATGCACACCTGTCCTGCTTTAATTAGCACAAATGTGGCTATTACTTAGCAACTTCCAGCTCTTCCCTCCCTTCTGCTTGCCACATACAAACATGTTTATAGTGTTTGATTTGATAGTGTGAATTAATTAATTGTTGGCTTGATAGCATTAATATTTATAGCGTGAAGTCTTTTAAAATATGTTTAGGTCAACTTCTGTCAGGAAAGACAGCTGGATCAGGGAGATGGAGGATTTGTAGATCCCTAAAATTTTTCCCCTGACAGGGCAGACCCCCTTAATAGCATGTTTCACATCTTGACAGTAAGTTTGTTCTGTCTCAGACCCCTGTCTTGCCAACAACTAGATCTAACATGAATGATACAGCCAACAAACCAGTAACTTGACTCTATTGAATACAGAAAACTCATCCCATGAATAATCACCAGGGGTACAAATAAGTCAAATAAGTTCACATGCAATCAACATCACCCCCAACGATCCAAACAAAGACACTGCCCAACCAACAACAGGTGGAACAAATAAGGAGCCAAGGTTTCCCATAGGTGGAATGGGAAACAGCCAGGTCAGCAGGTTAATCACATGGGATAAAGGTAGCCACAGGGCCAGCTCTCACCCTCCTAGCCCACGTTTGCAAAGGTCCAAGCTGACCAGGGCCCAGTTACCAGGGAGAGTCAGGAGGCCCTTCCCCCAACCAGGCAGCTCTGGGGAGTGCACTCCACAGACAGACACTCCTGACCCCCTGCCAGTGGTCCCAGCTTTTATCCCCCAGCAGACCCCTGACCTTTGTCAGCTCCCTGCGGGACCCCTGGGGCTCATTTCCCTTCTGGCTCTCCCTGCAGGGCCGGCCGCACCCTGGGGGGAAGCTCTAAGGCAAACTCACCCCTCTGGATGAAGGGCTGTGGGAATCACCCATATGGCAACCTTAATTCAGGGCTCGGGGTTCAGACCCTAGCACTCCAACCCCTTAGTTACACTTAGTAGAACCTGAGGAAACTGGGACACAAGCTAAAACCCACTGTAATAGACAATCCTGTGAGAGTCATTCCAGCCCTGTGTTCTGTTGCATTTTGTTTTAAACTGGCTTTCCAGGAACTGGTGCAGGGCTTTGTCTTTCCCTGACACTGGACAAAAGTGGATGTTTTGCCCTAGTTAATAACTTCCCCATCATTAAACTAATGCAAATGTTTAAAATGCATTATTTATATGAAAACTGTGTGCAATTACCTCACAGTTCTGAACAAATAAGTAGATGTGATTGCTGGTATAAACAAAGGGTTTTATAAGGGCTAGAAGAGGACTAAGCTCTCTGTGACCAAATATGAAGCTTGTAAAGTGTCAGGGCTTTGGAGATGTTCAAAGCCCCAAGGCTATAAGCCAAGTAATCTTATCTATATGAAATATACAGTAAGCCTTCAGAGAGGCACTGCTTTGAAATTTAAATTTAAAGAATGAAAGGGAAAAGTCATTCCCCCAGAATGTTACAGGATGTTTAAAGCACCGCTGCAAAATCAATCTTTTTTTTTTTTATATAACCATACCTAAATCCATTTAATAAAGCATGCTAATTTATCTGCAGAAGAGGACTGTATCTCCCCTCTCAGCTTCTTATCTTACCATAATATCTCCTTTTGCTTCAAAGAGAGAGTGCAAAGCGTATTCTGAGTTAGTTCCTCCACCAGGTAACACACTGGAACAGCTCATATTTAAAAGGTCTTCCACTGTCAGAAACAAGTCAACATTTTACTGCTAATACAATAGCCTTTCAGTCAAACATCCAGAGCCAAGGATTCTGTAATGCCACCCAAAGACAGCGTAGTTTGGGGCAGCAGCTTTCAGTCTCCCTCCCCAGCACCTCATCTCCTGGTTTCAGGATAAGTCACTGAGCAGGGATGTGAAGGGATTTGCAGAGTGCTCCCCTGGGACGGGACAGGCTGCTGCAGAGCCAGGGACCTGGCCTGCACAGGCCAGTGATATTGCTGGGCCAAGAAGGCACCACCCAGGGTAGAGAAACAGAAACACACTGCACTGGAAGTGGGAACAAACTCTGCTCAGAACTGGTAGAAGCCACTGAGCCTGCCAACGTGTCCTTTCAGTTGTGGTCACGGGACAGACCCAGGGGCCATCAGCTGCCTCTCATCTAGTGATCTCTGCCCTTACCAGGGCAGTTCAGTACCCAAATGAATCCTACTTGCCAGCAACGATCCTTCCCCCTTGGCTGCTAGAAACAGTTTATCCAGACTTGAAGTGCCACTACATAATGTTGTTACTCAAACTCTAGCATGCATTTCTGGCCTCTTGCTCTGCATTCTCAGCAATTAATACTCTCTAACATTTTATACAGCATACACATGAGAAATCAATGTGAATTTCTTCAACAGGTACAGGTGATGTATGAACTTCTGAAACAGCAAGTCACTGAAGTCACTGTACCTCTTTGTTGGAAGACTTTGTTCTCCAGTTCTGGCCACGGTTTCCAAACCAACGTAGCCTTGTGCACATCCTTCTCCATCAGCAGTCTGTCCTGCAGCTCTGGAATGTCCGCCTGGAACCGGGAGCCAATATTGATTCGCCTGTCAAGACAAATAAGTGAGTATTCAACTACACAACACGTGACAGACACAGAAGTCACCCTAGCATAATAAAAATTTTGCTGAAAACCAAGTAAACGCTAGAGTGGCAGGAAATTGTGTCAGATTGCTTCATGCAATGCTTTATTCTCAGCGGGATAAGTATTTGAGTATTAGAGAAAAGTGATCTCTTGGGGGGAGCCCAAAATTTCAATACACAGTTTAAAACTACATGGAATCATCATCCTACCTTACAGACAACCCAAGCTAGCCTGTACGCCCGCTGACTAGCCAAGAGGCTAGACACCACAAACACCAACTTTCTGGGCCACAGAGGACAGCACTCGCTCCTCAGCGGAGAGCAGAAAGAGACATTACTGCCACAGGACAATCCTGTTCACAGTCTGCCCTGGAGAGCTCACCAGGTAACACCTCTCCAAAGCTCCATGGTTATGAGATGAGTCCTGGATCAGCATTCGCTTCCTCATGGCCCTTTTCCCAGATACCACTAACCACTGTCTCATCTTCAGTGCCTCCCACCAAGCCTCTCCTAGCGTTTTGGAGCCATGGCATCTACACCTCCCACAGCCACTTTGTTTCCAATGTCCTTAAACATCAACCAGAGCAACCCTAGATGCATCCAGCCCAGCATGATTTCATGCAGTTGAACACTACCTGCCCAGTTCAAAACACTTCAGGCCATAGGCTCCAGGTTGGAGATAGTCTATAAATGCAGTGACAAAAACAACATTGTTTTTCTTACGGTTCGACAGTCTGTTCTCCAGGCCCAGGCGTCACTGGAATGACACTTCCATCAATACTGTCTGAAACACAGATTGGATTTTGAGATTAAAATGGTATTTGGGTAACAACATGGCTGATGATGTTCCACCTGCTGGTCTGCATCACCACTTCCCTACCATAATCAATGTCAATGTCACTCTTTTAAGCAAAAATTTTTTAAGCAAAAATTTTTTTAAGCAAAAATTTTTCCATCAATACTGTCTGAAACACAGATTGGATTTTGAGATTAAAATGGTATTTGGGTAACAACATGGCTGATGATGTTCCACCTGCTGGTCTGCATCACCACTTCCCTACCATAATCAATGTCAATGTCACTCTTTTAAGCAAAAATTTTTTAAGCAAAAAATTTTTAAGCAAAAATTACCCTTTACCAATATTTTGACACAAACAGTCTAAACTGTTACAGGTACTGGAAATGTCCTAACTTGCAGAGGTCCCTGCTGCCCTGACCACATATGATTAGACCGCTTTTCTTGGTCTCAAAGAAGGTATCCTCCCTCCACTTCAGAAGGTCCAGATATAGTGAGAGGCACGGTGGTCCCTTCTTGAGGCAGCCCACGCTGAAAGAGGACGGCTCTACTCACTGCTGAGGTTCCTCTATTCTCTTTATGCTTTAAAACCACCTCCACAAAACCCAAGGCAAACACTCTGGCAAGAGGCACTTCTCCCTTGAAGCGCCACGCCAGCCGCGCGCGAGCACAGGCCCA